TGCGAAAATACACGCAAGGATCAAACTGGCTCCGAGTGTACGAATGACCAAGCATAAAACCATCAAATCGCCTATACCACTGTCGAGGAGACTGCTTCAAACCGTATAGCGATTTCTTTAGCCTGCAAACCAACTTATCTTTCCCTGCAGCTCGGAATCCCAATGGCTGAGTCATATATATTTCTTCATCAAGATCACCATGAAGAAATGCTGTCTTCACATCCAACTGATCTAACTCCAATCCATACTGTGCCACCAAAGCTAGCAAAATCCGAATCGACGAATGCTTCACCACCGGAGAGAAAACCTCATTGTAATCAATACCTTCCTCCTGTGCATAGCCCTTCGCAACCAACCTAGCCTTGAACCTCACTGGAGTGCCCTCAATGCCCTCCTTCTTCGTGTACACCCACTTGCACCCAATCGCCTTCCGCCCCTTTGGAAGCTCTACAAGCTCCCATGTATCGTTCTTGTGAAGAGACTCCATCTCCTCCTGCATAGCCACCTGCCACGAATCAGCCTCCGAACTCTGCTCGGCCTCTCTGAATGTAGTAGGCACCATCTCATCGATACTCTCCACCGGAAGTGCATATGCAACTGTGTCGGCATACCGTGCTGGCACCCGTATGTCTCTCCTCTGTCTCCGTGCCGCAATAGAATCCTGAACCTGAGCCGTCGGTCCCTGATCCTGCTCATGAGTACCCGTATCCTCCGCATCACCGTCGTGCTCGCCTGGCGTCACCTCAGTCGGCACTCTCATGGATACTGCACTATCTGGACTCTGTGGAGCTGCATCAATCTCCACCACCTGCGAAATCTCCTCTGTCGGGTTGCTCTCCACCTGATGAGAGCTGGGAAGCTTCAAGATAGAAGCCTCATCGAATGTGACGTCCCTACTCAGCACAATCTTCTTATCAACTGGATCCCAAAGCTTGTATCCCTTGACACCACGCTTGAATCCTACAAATATGGCCTTCCTAGCTCGAGGTTCCAACTTATCAGTTCTAACATGATAATATGCAGGGCAACCAAATACCTTAAGCTGGTCATAGTCATGTGCTGTCTCTCCCGACCACATCTCCATAGGGGTCTTCCCCTCAATCGCAGATGAAGGCAGCCTGTTAATGAGGTGGCTCGCATAAGAAAGTGCCTCAGCCCAAAAGATCTTCTCCAAACCACTATGCGCCAATAAACATCGAATCTTCTCCAGCAAAGACCGATTCAATCTCTCTGCCACCCCATTCTGCTGCGGTGTATGACTAACTGTGAAGTGCCTCTCTATGCCCTCGTCTCGACATAGCTGCAGAAAGGGGTCTGAGGTATACTCGCCGCCGTTGTCGGATCGCAACGTCTTGATCTTTCTCCCAGTCTGCAGTTCCAATCTCTTCTTCCACTCCACAAACAAATCTAGGACTTCACTCTTATGCTTCATGGTGTACACCCAACATCGCCTAGAATAGTCATCAACGAACGTGACGAACCAATGTCGACCACCAAGTGATGCCGTCTTAGTGGGACCCCAAACATCTGTGTGCACGTAGTCCAAGATGCCCCTCGTCCTATGAATGGCCGTCCCGAACTTCACCTTCGTCTTCTTGCCAAGTACACAGTGCTCACAGAATTCTACTTTACCACTCTTGGCTCCCTTCAAAAGCCCCTGCTTGCACAATGCCTGCAGTGACTTTTCACCTGTATGCCCTAGCCTGTAGTGCCAAAGTCTGCTCATGTCCGCCTCTGAAATCGCCGAAGCAACCTGGCCAATCTCGGTGCTCCCCTTCAGATAATATAAATTATGATTTCGGACTCCCTTCATCACCACCAAAGATCCCTTAGTAACCTTTGCTACAGCATCCTCAAAGGTCACCCTGAATCCCTTCGCCTCCAAAGCCCCCACTGAGATAAGATTCTTCTTAAGTTGAGGAACGAATCTCACCTCCTTCAGCTCACGGACTACTCCATCGTGCATCCGAATCCTCACAGTACCTATCCCACGAACGCCACAGGATTGATCATTTCCCATGACCACAACACCCCCATCGAGTCTCTCAAATGATGAGAACCAATCTCGCCTAGGAGTCACATGATAAGTAGCGCCAGAATCAAGCATCCACTCCGATGCATCCAAATGGTTCACCTCCGGAGTAATCAAAAGAGAAAAGCTCGAATCATCGGAATCATCGCCTTTCGCAACATTCACCTCATTGGCCTTCGGGCCCTTATTCTTGCTATTCTCCTTTTCTTTGACTTTCGGGCAATCTCTTTTCCAATGTCCCTGCTCCTTGCAGAATGCACATTGATTCTTTCCAAGCTGGTGACGACCTCTTGACTTTGACCTCCCTCTGTTTCCACCTTTCTGATATGAGCTTCTACCTCTCGCCGACAAGGCCTCTCCTGAAGTACTAGCGCGGGAAGTCTCCTTATCCTTCCTCCTCAAATCATAGTTCGTCAATGCGTTAGTCACTTCACTATAAGTGATAGAAGATCTCCCGTTCAGCAACGTAAGCACGAAGGTATCATACTCCTCATCCGGTAAGGAGCCCAAAAGAATAATAGCCTTGTACTCATCTGTGATCTTCTCATCCACGTTCGCCAAGTCCGACAACAACTTAGTGTAGTTGTTCACATGAGCCGCAAGCGAGGTACCTCTGGACATCTGGAATCTGAATAACCTTCGCAGCAAGTGCAACCGGTTCTCAACACTCTTCGTAAGGTACTTATTGTTGAGAATTTCCCACATCTTCATCGCAGACGTCACCCCAATCACATCGTATTTCAGCTCCTGTTCCAAACAGGACCTGATCACCCCGCAAGCATTTCGATTCATCTTTTCCCATATCGCTTCTTCATACTTAGGTGGCCTCACATCGACCATGATGGTCTCCTCCAGATTTTGAGCATTGAGCGCATCCTGTACGTCGCTCATCCACAAACCAAAATTGATCTTGCCGTCATATTTCACAACACTAATCTTAGTGTTCTGAAAACCCACTTGAACTGTGCCTGTCATCTTGCTGCTTTCACCAATTACTTCACCCATAATCACAACTTCCAAATTGTAGAGAAAGATCCAAACTTTGAAAGAATAAGAAATTACCCAACTGAACCCTAGATTGGATTCCAAATAGAACTCCTAACCACACGAGGAAAGCGAGATCTTCAACGGCAACTTCAAACCCTAACTCCACCAAAGCCTAGAACTCCAAGAACCAAGCTTCAAACTGAATCTTCCTCCACCTAATCCAAAACCCTAGATCTGAATCTGAGCTCTGATACCACTTGTCGCGCGCCTTTGCGGAAGCCTTGCACGAACTCACAACGAACCTGTGATCACGAGTAGAAGAAAGACAAACTCTTGCACAAATCCAACCAATAAAGCCAAATCAATCCAAACACAGAGATATACGTGGTTCGGCAATTTGCCTACGTCCACGGGGAGAGGATGGGGAGATTTCACTAAATCAAGGAGAGTACAAAGGGTTACAATCACACAAATTCTCTCAAACTAACCCTCAACCAAAGATCTCACCTTGCTCACAATATCTCCCTCTCACAATGCTCAAAAGATTCCTCAATCTCTGATATTAAACCCTCTCAAATCGTTTCCCTATTTATACCAAAACAAAACCCCAATTAGACTGCAAATAGGAAACCTGCGTATGCAAAAAACCCGCTATAAGTCGACTTAACAGAGGGCGTAAGTCGACTTGGCAGAGGAAAAAACAGCAACAGGAGAGGACTTCATAAGTCGACTTAACAGACATTATAAGTCGACTTGGCAGAGGAAAAAATCACAACGCCGCTGCAGATCGTAAGTCGACTCGTGCACACTAATGAGTCGACTTACCATAAGTCGACTTAGCCTTGTGCATGAGTCGACTTATGCCAGTTTTTCTGGTTTTTCTGATTCTTTTCCTGATTTCTCCACAGTGTCCTGATTATTTGGATGGAATTTCTGTGTTGCAAGGATTGGGTAAGAGCATAAAGGAATCTGGTAGTATTGAACTCTAGATGAAGCTTTGTAGGAGGCTGTCTGATGTGAAACTGATTGGACCCTGTCTTGTGTATTTGTATGTACATAGATACAAGCTGTGGGTGGTGAACACGCGCTGAAGGCAAAGTTGTTGGGCACGGAGTACTGTATATATAAGTCGAAGAAAATATTATACAGGTGTATAGTTTCATATGTTTGTTATGTAATACATAGTGATGTCTGAAAGCCTTTTTTTTAACGATATTCGAGGGATTTGAAGTATTGATTGATTCTGGATGAGGATTCTTTATAATTGTTGGATTTATTACTGTGATTAAGATGAATGGTGATTTGATGATGTTGGTTTTTCTTTATGAGACAACATAAAATGTAAAGCAGACTTTGAGAGTGCATCCAGTGTTGCTTAAGAAAATTGTGGTCTCAAATTCAAAAGTAATGTTTAGCTTATGAAAATTGTGGTCTCAAATTCAAAAGTAATGTTTATTTAGCAAATTATTTGCTTTTGGTTATTAACATTATCAACTTCGAGCTTTCATCAAAATCAAAAGGCAAATAATATTATTGACGAGAGGATCCAAATCCTATAATGCCAACATCTAGTATTTATAAAAATTGTCGAAGTAACATTTTAGAGCACAAAAATCACAGCTATATCTACATTCTTTTGAAGGAAAGTATACCCATTCCAAATATCAACGATTTAAACAGTGCCAAATGATTGGGGTTTGAAAGTGGCCAACGCACTTATTTTATGTGTACTGCATTATGAACAATAATTCTCAGATTTGAACACAATAGACACATTGTAGTGAGCTACAAGCCATCTTATTTATTTCTTCATATCCAATCTAAGCTTCAACAACTATATTTAGAAAACATGAAAAGCTGAAAGATCAAAATAAAGGGCATTTATATTTAAAAAACATGAAAAGCTGAGAGATCAAAAAAGGGTTCAAGAATAGCTAGATGTTGGGGCATTTATATTTAAAAAACATGAAAAGCTGAGAGATCAAAAAAGGGTTCAAGAATAGCTAGATGTTGGTAGTATTTTTCCTTTTCCAAAATTTCAGTTGCACATTGCGAAGCACAACGCTCACTGCAAACCCCACTCCAAATCCCAGGCCAACTAATAGCGCAAGTACAATGATATAGGTTGACGGTGATGAATGGTCAGAGGCAATAGGTTGCACTGCACTTGTCTGATTTGGGCTTCCGTTGTTGCATTGCTTTGATAAAGGACTTCCACACAGTCCATCGTTATCCAGGTAAGAAGCGTTCGAAAATGTATTGAATTGTTTACTTTGAGGAATTCTTCCTGTTATATTGTTGCTAGACAGGTTTAAAGAAGTTAAGAATGTGAGAGAAGTCAATTCTTGAGGAATCTGTCCAGACAAATGGTTTGCAGAAAGATCCAATCTTTCAAGTTGTCTCATGTTTCCAATTACCGAAGGAATCTCTCCTGTGAGAGAATTTTGTGATAAATTCAACATGAAAAGGCCTCCGAGATTACCGATCACCTTAGGAATATTACCATCAAAGTTGTTGTTTGAGAAATCCACAAACGTATATGATATCGCTAATATTCTCAGAAAGGTATATTCATACTCGTTAGTTGTGACTGAAACTTCATAGTGATAATAGTCTTTATCAGTTATGTTATCACTTCGATTCATAGTGGAGAAACTCATCATGGACTTTAGATTGTTGAAACAATTTGAAGGCAAATTTCCATTGAAGGACTTTAGATTGTTGAAACAATTTGAAGGCAAATTTCCATTGAAGTGATTGGAAGATAGATCAAATATTTGCAATTTCAAAAATGTGTTATTTGCCTCGCAAATTTCCATTGAAGTGATTGGAAGATAGATCAAATATTTGCAATTTCAAAAATGTGTTATTTGCCTCAGGACTTTCTGTAACTTTGACTTGCCCATGAAGTGCATTTCCTTGAAGAACTAGAATAGTGATGTCAACCATTTGTCCCAACCAAGATGGAAAACCTCCAACAATCTGATTGTTCCCAAGGTCTAAAACCTTTAGCGACACACAATTGAGCAAAGTTTGAGAAATTGAACCTTTCAAACGATTGTCACTGAGGATCAATGACTCCAGCATGCATCCTTTACTAAAATGTCCAGGAATTGCCCCTTGAAGTTTGTTCCCTTTTAGATTCAAGTCAGTAAGAGATTTGATATCGAATAGACACGAAGGGATTGAACCACTCAAACTATTGTTAGACAAGTCGAGGACTTGGAGATCGTGTGCTTCACAGATGGATGCTGGGATTTCTCCAGTAAGATTATTGTTCATGAGCAGAAGATGAGTGCAGTTTAAAAGATAGGAGGAAATGTTAGTCGGGATAACAGATGAGATGCTATTGTTTGAGTAATCTATGAATTGGAACGACGTCGAGGGAAGAAAAATTGGTCCCCTAAGCGAGTTTGAATGGAGATCAAGAGCTGGAGCCTGATCGATATTCGCATGTTTCCAAGAAAGAATATGTGGGCCTTCGAAATGAGTGAATTCATTCATGGAGAGATTCAAATAAAGTCCCTCGCCTAATCCCCAAATCCATTCCGGTATTCCGCCGCCAATCTTGTTATTAGAAAGGTCTAATAGTTTGAGTTCATGTTGATATCTTATCTTGCCGAGCTCCACCATTCCACTAAAGTCGTTTGATGATAGGTCTAGTGACTCGAGGGCTGAGAGCTTAAACAAGGATATTGGAATCTGTCCTTGAAGTTGATTATAACTCAGATCAAGATCACGTAAGGACATTGAAGGATTTGAGAACTCTTTTAACTCACCAGAGAATTGGTTATTAAAGAGGTGCAATTCCTCTAAAGCAGGGTGGGTAAACAATGAGACTGGCACCGATCCAGAAAGGGAGTTGTTACTTAGATCTAAGGATGTGAGATGAGTCAGATTTCCGATAGAAGTGGGGATCGGACCCGTGAAATTGTTGCCTGAGAGATCTAAATGTACGAGCTGGGTAAGATTCCCGATGGAAGATGGTATCATCCCGGTCAGACCGAATTCAGAGAAATCCAGAGTAGTCAGGTGCTTGAGATTCGAAATAGAGTCTGGTATTTTCCCGGATAAATTCGTCCCATAGAAGCTCAAACTTTGCAAAGAGTTGATGCTTGGAAAATCCGGAAGATTCCCAGAAAGCATCGAATTCCACGATAGGTCGAGAAGAGTCAGGTTGGGGTGTGATGTCAAGATGTCTGTCGGCAACAATCCTGCGACTCCAAATATATATACGATATAATAAATAAGGAAATAATGCTTGACTATAAAACTGATTAGATAAAGAAGTAGGTTTACCTAGGAGATGACAGAAATTATAAAACTGATTAGATAAAAAGCTTGATGGGAAACAAGTAGGTTTACCTGGGAGATTACAACTGCTCAAACCGAGCACTCGAAGGTGAGGCATCGAGGTGGACAAAGCATTTCCCCAGTCTATGTTCGAGGACATGTCGACGCCGTCGAGATAAAGCTCCCTCAGATTGCTAAGGTTTCCAACTAGAGTCCGGAAACTTGGATGGCGGAGTTCTGTATTACAGTAGCTGAGGTTGAGGGAGATGAGGTCGGTTAAGCGAGAGATGCCGACGGGGATCTGACCACCATTGAATCCGGCAGATGAGAGATCGAGACGGGTGAGTTGTGTAAGGTTCTCAAACCACACCTGAGGAAAGTCTCCTTGAAAGAAATTGTCGGAGAGGTCGAGAGTTCGGAGGGAGGTGAGATTGAAGAGGCTAGCACTGAGCGTGCCATTGATACCACGGTGACTGAGGTCGAGGCCGCTGACGTGGCCAGATTTGGGGTCGCAAGTGACTCCCTCCCAGTCGCAGCAGTCGGAGCCAGGTTTCCACGAAACCAGGGGGCCGCGAACATCGAAGGGATAATCCGTGTTGAAAGAGACGCCACGAATTAAGTCGAGGAGGGAAGACCTGTCGGATGGGAGGCAGTCGACAGTGGTATTGGTATGACGAGCAGCAGCGCATGCGGACGGGATCAGCAGCGGCGACACTATTAGAAGCAGCATACAATGGACAAGTAGCCGATCAAGTATTGCAGTGCCCATGCTGACTAGTTAATTAATACTTTGATACCCAAAGGTGAATGAGCAGTTAACGGATATATATAAGTAGGAGGAGATCATCGAAGATGAAGACGGAGGACGGAAGGAGCAGGCTGGAGCGGTCTTCCTGGCTTGGCTTGGCTTGGCTTGGTGAATGGGATCGAGATTGGTAGCTATAGCGATCTGGTGGGAAGCAGAGGAAATTAAGAAGGCCCCCCAGAAAAGAGGGGGTTGGAGACCCCGGAACGATGTACGAAAGAGACAGCGTGGAAAATGGGCAGATAGAGTGCTGCTTCTTATGAAAAAGCCCCGGAACGATGTACGAAAGAGACAGCGTGGAAAATGGGCAGATAGAGTGCTGCTTCTTATGAAAAAGGGCAGATAGAGCGGCGGGGAATGACTGGGCTCAGGAGTAGAGTCTAACATAGTGTGGAAAATGGGCAGATAGAGAAGGAAGGGCCAATACTATTCATTGAAATGAATGGTAATACTATTCGTTTTTGGAGTTTTGAAAAGTAAGGTGATGTTAGCTCATGTGGTGATGTTTATAGCCAACAAACTGGAGATTTGTATGTATCCCTTTCATTCCATATATAATGAAATCCATCTTAGGATTTGTGGTTCCAACTTATCCCATAGATACCACTCACACGACATGATTTGGAGAGAGGAAAATGGAAGGGACAGTCTGGGACCATTCAAATTCCACTTTATCAAGAATAAAAGATGATACAAAATTTGAAGTCTTAAGTGATATCCTCTCTGCATGTATGCAAATATGGTATGACCTCCCACATGTTACAATCTTTTATTTATCTTCCCTTGTAGTTTTCATTTTGAGCGGTCTTCCTCAAAATGGGCAGATAGAGAAGGAAGGGCCAATATTCGTTTTTGGAGTTTTGAAAAGTAAAAGGTGATGTTAGCTCATGTGGTGTGTATGCCTCATTCAGTTTTTTTTTAATAGTCCAACGGACGACGACGACGAAGACTTGGAAACGTTTGCAAGTCTTCCACGGACGACGACCTGGAAATGCTAGTTGAATTATCGGGCATGAATTATTGGGCGTGTTGGAAACGTTTGCAAGTGACAGCGTGGAGAAGACTTCCACGGACGACGTTGACGAAGACTTGGAAACGTTTGCAAGTCTTCCACGGACGAGACGACTTGGAAATGCTAGTTGAATTATCGGGCATGAATTATTGGGCGTGTTGCAAACGTTTGAAAGTGACAGCATGGAGAAGACTTCCACGGGCGACGATGACGACGAAGACTTGGAAGGCTTTAATTTCATTGGTCGTATGTACAAAGCCTATCCATTCACTATGCACGTTATAATTAAAATGAAAACTACAAGGGAAGATATTTAATAAATAAATAAAAAAAACTATATACGTTCTGTTGTATATACAAAAGCCATGACCGACCAATCTTTACTCGAATGATTGTGCAAAAAAAAAAAAAAAAATTACTTAGTATGCATATGATGAAAATCCTTTCTTATTAGTCACAAAAGTACCCTTTAATTTAGTAAAAAGTCCATGGCGTTATCTTAGCATCGATGGTGCTAATTTGAAGATTAAATTAGAGTTTAAGTAAGAAATTTTCAAATAAAATTTAGTGAAATAAAGCAGTTCATGGATGTTATATATGTGCAACTCTCCAAAGTTCATAGGGGTTTGATGTCACAAAAAAATTTAATGGGGGTTTATTGCAACTCCCTAAAGATCATGGGGGTTTTTCTGTAACTAACCCTTAAATAACGTTAGGTGCGTGATTTGTATTTGTAGAACTATACCCAATATTGCTACACCTATGTAGTTATCTCTGAGATTATTTAGCACCTAACTAGGAGCTACCAGTTAATAATGTGACTAATAATTTCCATAAATAAGGATTGTATATGACATTTGGATATCCAGTCATGTATACAGAGTCAAATACAAATATATTTAATTAGTACGGAAAAAGTTATTCATATCCTTCAAAATGAGATATAAATATGAGAACACAAATACAAATATGAAAACAACTATATAGCACCCCGAATTCAGAATAGAACCTGCTACCAAATTGCATCCCCTAACATGATGCAATAACTCTGCAAGAGATAAGATGGAAGAGACTTTCACAGACGATGACTTGATAGACTTCTTCATTGAAAATGAATGGTTGTACATAGGCAATACTATTCGTTTTTGGAGTTTTGAAAAGTAAGGCGATGTTAGTTCATGTGGCGTGTATGACTCATTCAGATTTTTTTTTTTGGGGGGGGGGGGGGTACCATGATCAGCCAATCTTTACTCAAATGATTGTACTACAAATATTTTGCATTCGTTATGCATCCAATCAAGGCTTTCTGGTTTTTTCTGGAGCTGGTTTTACATGAAGAATATGAATTTAAAATTAAATATTTGCAAAGCTGCACCTATACTAAGGTGGAATAAGTTTGCAAGTGACGAGATGCAGAAGAACTTCCTTAGGCCCCATGAATTGTTTTTCCTCCTGATGACCATCCCATAATATAATTGAATGGCTACGATTAAATTAACTATGCGATCAATTTAAATATTCTTATTGATAATCATATGCTTGTTTTTCACAATATAGTTTAACAAATGCAAATGCAGCGATGTTAGTTCTGCAAGCAGATAAAATGAGGATTGCACATGACATTTAGATATTCACATCACAATATCTATACTTACACTTTTCTCAATAAAAAATATCCATACTTGTACACCTTCATCCAACATGGTACGCTGTTATATAATAATCCGGAGCCTTTCATCATTATATTATTAACGGCTATGATCATCCGTAATTCACCAGAGAATACCTTTCGCAACATCTCAAGGACACACACAGCAAATAAAAAGTAAAACTATTGGATGCGGTAAAAAGGGTAAAATTATTAGATATTAGAATACAGTAACACAAGGCGTCATTAATACGAAAATTAGGTATTTATACAAAAAAAAACTTGCACTATTATAAATGAGCTCAACCACCCCATCCGCCTCTTCAACGATAAGGAATACAAAATTACTACATATTGTGAGCAAACCCACGGTCCAAGGAGCATTGACTCCTTAAGTCATCCAACACTAAAGTAAAAAAGTTACACAAACTAAAATTACATAGCAACTTATAACATTCATAGGCTGCTTTTGCACAAAGAGGGTGCAAACTGATACTTCACCTCTGTAAAGTTACCCGAGATTAACAAAAAATTTCTCGGTTGTACATGAATCAGTTTGAGAGTCATTGATCTATTAGGTATGTCTATCTAAGAACTTCTCAATTAGAACTGAGAATGTAGCAAAGCCAGCGCATCCGACACATGCAGCCTTCGGGCCACCTACAAAGGAAATAACCATATAATGGATTGGTGACATGTAAAATCCACATATAACAAATGCACTAATTTATTCAGAAAAAGGGTACATTTCAATTTATCGTAAATCAGATATTTCCGTGTTTAACAGTAAATGTATTTATACAAATTAAACATCATCAATGAAGAAAATTCAAAGTTCACTTATGACCTAGATGACCTGGCGCAAAAAAGTTTAAGGTTAACTGCAGAAACAGCCCTTTTACGTACTATGACAGTATAACCGCTTATATCCTCTAATCCTTTTTATTAGCACTTGCATCACGCGAACTCAGAAGACATATGCTCTCTTGCCCTCAATTTATAGAGCAATTCAGTATCTTTTCAGTTAAACTGAAGCAAGAGATAATTCATCATAGTATTCCCACATGAAAACTACTAAATTGGGAAATGATGCCATATCGAGTAAATGAGGCCTACGTGATCGCGCATTTGTGATTAACCTTCACATTATGATTTTGTTTTCATCCAACAGAAGTTCCTAACAAAGGATTAAATGGTCAAGTAAACTTATCCCGCCTTATTCTACAATGAACAAATCTAAGATAATTACGCAAAAAGATGTGCTGCATGCAAGGATATATTCAAGTTTCTGAAAAAGATGTGCTGCATGCAAGGATATATTCAAGTTTCTGACATCACTGTTTACAAGTATAGGTAAGGCGTGAAGTTGAGAATAAATGCAGTTCTATATTCAAGTTTCTGACATCACTGTTTACAAGTATAGGTAAGGCGTGAAGTTGAGAATAAATGCAGTTCATTTTCCGAAATCCAGTGTTGAATTGTAAATAAAAAATAGTGTTAATTGCGGATAGACCACTGCACTATCACCCAATTGTGAATGGAACCTCTGCAATTCTATTGATGCCGATTAGACCCCTTGAGTGAAAAATTTGTTACTCTTTTACCTTAGAAAGAGATTTTTTTTTTCTCTTTTATTTTTTGACAATCGACCTCCTGAGGTTTAAAGAGTCAAAAAAATCACTAAGGGAGTCTATCTGCAACAATAGAACTACAAGGGGTCCATCTGCATTCAGTCGGTCATAGAGGCAGGAATTTCGCCAAGACGGGTCCAAATTTTAATAATCAAACCCAATAACACAAATATTTTGCGCATTTGATTAGTATTTAAACATCATTACATAAAAAGACTGTCAAAATCAAAATTCAAGTTAAAATATAGTATTACAATAATATTCTTCTTGCTTTCAGTTCTTCAAACCATTTCATTACATCTTGTTCATCAATGCTACAAAATATTTCATATAAGTTGCCAACAATCATTCATATAAATGTCTCTCATTCGGTTTCCAAGACATTCTTAACAATTTTCAATTGCTGAAAATGCTCTTTCAACGATTGTTGTTGAAACAAGCAAGATTACTGCCAATTTCTTCAACTTGAACAGTGAAGGTTATAAAATCATGATGAGTAGCGACATGATAGATATAGTTAATCTATTTCTAGAAAAAAAATATAGGATAAAAATTGACCAATCAAATCAGTTTTTCTTTATCAAACAAAGAGAACGACTTACGTGGTTCAACACATGTCACTGAAAAAAGAAAATCCAGACTACGATTATCAAAATGGTTGCTCAACTCTTGAGATAAAAATCAATAGACATATTGATCAATTCACTTTATAGTGATGGAAATTTGTACACATTTGAACCCATGCTTTGGTCCACCGACCAGAAGATCATGTTCTATATTCAGGATCGAGAAAGCGAAAGCTATGAGAAAGTTTAGAGATAGATATTATTACATTTTACTCTCTATAATTTTATTAACTATCAAGCACCCCTATTCATGCAATATTTCATTTGTCAAGCGGGGTCCACTGCTGATTTGGCCCCTTAGTAGCTTCGCCCATGTCCGCAATTAACCCTAAAAAACAAGGTGTCACCAACATTGTAGATTGCCCCAATTTGTCTCTATAACACATGAATTTTCAAAGTTTCAAAGAGAGTTAAGGAGGTTGGAAGTCCTGATGTTTGTAATCTTATGGTTTGTGAATTGTAAGGCTTACTCCAATGTTCAAGAAACTCTAACGTCACTTAGTATCAGAACAAAAACATGATACTTATAGTTAATATGGGATAATATCTAAAGCCTTTGGTGATATGAGAAGAGGTTTTGACAAATATAACATGTCCCAAAAAAAAGTACTTATCTGGATCATTTAGATTGTGGTAAAAGCCTTTAGAACAGCTATACATGTAAATCAAGTGTTTTGAGAACTTCTTGCTAGGAAAACATGATATAACAAAGGCGGAACATTTATATCATGATAACTAATCAAATTTGATAAAGGAAAAGTTTAGAATTACCTCAATCGATATTCCAAAATATCCATCAAAATCCCAAGATCTTGTCTTGAAAGCTTCCTCAAAAGAAAAAGACTTCAATCGGATCCACCCGTCACGGCGAGGATGCAATACAAAAGAGAGATGATCCTTTAATTTTTTTAAAACTTAAAGTTTCCTAGAAAGAACGTTTATGGGTTCAAATAGTACTCAAAGTTTTCTACTTATTTTATTGTGTTTTGCTCTATCTATTTGCCCTTCTATTTATAGGCAAAGGCAACCACTTAAGTTCTCATTCTTTTCTATGTAGGAGTATTCCCAAATGAGAACAAGCGTCAAGCTAAGAGAGAAGTATCAAAACAAAGAATATTTGTCATAACAAGCATGACGAATTTTACATTAAAACCATCTTGAGTTCTTATTTTTCATATTTTTTATAAATAGAAATATTTGTAAGGCAATTAATCCTCTCTAATGACATTGGTGAAACTGATTGAATTCTCATATTGAAAGCCAATTATTTTACTAGTGCTATATAAAACCTGAAATAGTGGATTGCTAAATTTCATTTAGGAAAACAATGGATATCTATAGAGGATCCAGTATACTCATTATGATGAGTATAATTTATCATGCATATCTCATGAAGTTGTAAAACCCTATTGACAGGTGGTTTTAAAGATATTTTCAGATTTTATTTATTTATTATATATTTACAATTTTGAAATGAATTTTGTTCATGAGAATTGTTATTTTAGGCATGAGTAAATAGGTCAATTCTCCTTCTCAATTAAATTGTCTAAAAGAAAATAAATTGATACTCGTGGGAAGTGAATGTACGATAATATTCTTTAAATATTTATTCTAATATTATGGAAGAGCTTTTATGAACAGTTGGTTGGATAGTGACTTGACTATTAAATAAAAATTGTTAATTAAAAATAATTGGCTTTCAATACGAGAATCTAATCGGTCTCACAAATGTCATTTGAGAGGATTAAATGCAATACAAATATTTCCATTTGTAGAAATATGAAAAATAAGAACAAGAGGATTTTAATGTAATATTCCTTAAATTTGTCATGACAAATGTCCTTCGTTTTGACAATGGTCTTTTAGCTTGACACTTTTTCTCATTTGGGAATAGTCTCACATAGAAAAGAATGAGAACACGAGGGATTGCCCTTGCCTATAATAGAAGGGCAAATGGAAAGAGCAAAACACGGGAAAATGAGTAGAAAATTTTGAACAGTACTTGAACCCATAAATGTTGGTTTGAGAAAATTTAAAAATAAAAGAATCATATCTTTTTTGTATTTGCATCCTCATGGTGACGGGTGGATTCGATTGGAGACTCTTTCTCTTGAGAAAGCTTTCAAGAAAAGATCTTGGTATTTCAATGAAGATTTCGGAATAACGACTAATAAACTTCTCCTTTATCTAATATGATTAGTTATCAGGATATAAATGCTCTGCTTTTTCATATCTAATTTCCTAACAATTTTAATTTAACAGTCAAGTCCCTACCAACCAACCGTTTATAAAAGTTACTCCATAATATAAGAATAAATATTTAAAAAAATATTATCTTACATTCAGTCACCTCTAGTGTCAATTTATTCTTTTAGACAATGTAATTGAGCAGGATAATTCACCTATTTGCTCATATCTAAAATAACAATTCCCGTGAAGAAAAAATCATTTCAAAATTATCAATATATAATAAATAAATAGATTCTGAAAATATTTTCAAAACCACCTATCGACGGGGATTCACGGCTTTATGGGATATGTATAATAAATTATACTCATCATAATGACTATTTTGGATCCTCTATAAATATCCATCATTTTCCTAAATGAAATTTAGTAACCTAATATTTTAGATTTTGTATTGGATCCTCTATAAATATCCATCATTTTCCTAAATGAAATTTAGTAACCTAATATTTTAGATTTTGTAGCACTTGTAAAACAAGTTTAACCATCAGATCAAATCATGCTAAATAAACAAATTGAAAATGACTATATCATCAAGTCTAAAGGACCATGTAACAATTTGTATTCTCCATCTCTTAGGTGACAATTCTTAGAGAATTCAATTGCAGTCTAGTGCTACACGCATCACAACGTGAGCTTATGACATACGTCTGGGGTCTCACCACATCTCACATATAGGTGTTATGCATAATAACAAGGTTATAACATAGATATAATTTACTAGTTATAGGCTAAGCACATGTTTAAGAAATCTCTAAATCAGTGACCATCACAGTGCATGATCTAACCATACAATTTCCAAGGATAATATAATAATTATATAAATAATATCCAAAGAATAAGCGCAACCATAAAACCTTTATTAACATTCAAAAAAATATTATGTAAGTTCTATTGGATCTGCATACCATACTACACTAGCACTGCTACCTCATGGATCCAGATAATTTTGTGGTCTATTATCAGAAACTGTTCATATTTTAACTATTTGTTGATGGAGAAAAGGTCTTCATAATGCATCGTTTTTCTCATAAAGCTTTCCAAACATGTAGATCAAAGAGCATAGGTTGGCTCATTCAATTTCATTGCATAACATGGACTGCGATATTTGGACATAAGTAAGTTTTCCTATGCATTGGGAGCAAATCAAACAAGGCTTGATTGTTATGTGATGCAGGTGGATAATACTCATTCACAACTTTACAACACTCCATATACATATAATGTAATATGATATCCTTAAAGTTGCTTATATATTCTTGTTACCCAATCAATCATAAATTCTTTTATAAAGACAGATACCTCTAGCAGACATAGCTCCTCCTGTGACACAACCGGCAACAACTGTATTTGTCATATCATGTTTTGCACGTGCCTGAAGCAAACACACCCATAAAAAATGAAGACGGAATCTAGACAGAAAAGCACTTCAGTAGAGTTCTTTTTTTTCCCTTAAAAGTCTTGCTTACCTTCTCGACAATGCATTCAGCAGCTGAGAATGTGAGGCCCATAATTGCAAAAGCCTTGGCAGAACCCCAGCTTCTTCTTCCCATCTGCTTTGCAGTGTATATAAATTGCTGCTTTGCACTCATTTCCTCTTGCATCAAAGGATTATCCAGAGCCCCAAGAAATAGACCCATAAACAAACCAAGTCCACCTCCTAGAAAAGCCACACAACGTGTAATTTATTAGTACAGGAAGCCAAAGAACACTTTGTGGTAGAAATCCGAAGAGAAACTACCTTCTTCAGTAAAAAAAAAAATTCCTCAAGACACTAAAATATCTAAGAGTGAAATAAACTTGGCAGCGAAAAACTAGTTTATTGATATTTCAGGATGTACTACACAAAATAGAAAAGATTACTGAAAGTTGACTGGTTGACTATCACTCAGACAATCATTTGAAACAGCTTGATTAGAAATAAGATGGTAAACTCCCCATAGCGAAGGAGAAAACAATAAGAATACCATAGAAAGAACTAAACCTAAAGAAAACATCTGTTGATAGCCTGCACAAGAGAGAACTAAATTTTCTACAATGTGATAGAAATGGATAAAGAGAGATCAGAAACGAGCAAAATAAATAAATAAATATGGGATACTAAGGAACTTAAGCAATTCTCTCAATAAAGTTCCAATTCCCTGCAGAACTAAAACATCCTAGATTTGATGAGGAATGAGATTGTAAAGTCCACCCTCATACTCCATCTCAAACAAACATTTCATTTATCCAAAACTTCCCGGGATAACCATTCAAATACTAGCAAAGTTCCTCAACTAATTTTTTGCATAAATTCTCACACTTTCTCAAATCAAGCACAATTTCGTATTTTTGTGGTCAATATCTCAAACATATCCAGATATCATGAAACAAAGGTCATAAAGCACTAAGTAATCTGAATCTAAATCTTCTAATAAACTAAACCCAGATAATGCCCAATAATCAAAACGCAGCCTTTACTTATTATTATTTTTTATATAAAAAACTATTCTCTAAACAAACACTAAACTCAAATAGCATACTTCTTAAATGAAGGCTCAACTGAACAACAAATTTTAGATGTTTTTCTCAATAAATAACTTCTAAAATAAGAGGTATTTTTCTTTATCTTTTTTTTTTTGAACTAATGTCTGAAAATTGGAGAAAATAAAAAATACCCATGACTCCACTAACGACGCTTCTAACAGCGCAATTGTTCCAAATGTCTTGGCCTCGGATCTCTTCCATCGTCGGCATCCTTATGGGCTCCACCGCCGTCTTCTCCGCTTCATTTGGGGCCTCTTTGGGATCCGAATCTGAGTCCGCCATTGATGACTAAGCTCCGAATTATGAAGATACAGGTGTAAATTGAAGAGGAGAGATTGATAGATGGACTTATTTGCAATAACTTATTAATTTTTCCCCCCTTCTTCAAGCAAAGAGGGGGGTTTTGTGGAGGCTTTAGGTTTCGCAAATGGGGCGGGTGCGGCTTTTGTCTAGATCCCAATTTTACAAACTAGTATTTGATTCGAGCCTAATTAGCACTTAAATACCTCATAGTTTCCCCTACCTTGCACTTATCTACCTCCACAGTCTCTGAAATCTGCTCTTTAATATTTTCTGTTATGCAAATGAGATAACTCTTTTCTTATAATTTTCTCATGTGACACTCGCAAGTTGATTTGAGGGCTCTTTTTGGGACTTCATGTTTTGTTACTTCATTGTTAAACCCACGATAATCATTGGGTAGGTTTAAAATATAGTCCAGGGTGGTTTTGACATTAGATTCAACCCCCCAAATAAAATTTAGAGTCAAAAGTTCTCAAATTAACTTATGACAGTCTTCTCACATGGGAAAAGTTGGGATTTTTTTTCATAGCTTTCATATCAGATGGTACTAAAATGCCATTTTATAAATTTTAAGGTATATAACTGTTGCCAAAAGCAAGTGAGGATATATAAGTGCAAAGTAGGATCAGGTACATAAGTGAGGATATATAATTGATGCTAATTTTATAAATTATTATAAAAAAAAATTTGGTCTCCATTTTTATTTGATTAATTAATATATCTACAATATTTAATTAAAATGATTTTTTTATTGGGTTAATGTGGTTTTCTTTTTTTTTTTAAGAATTTGAAGTATCATTTGAGCATAATTGAAATTTATTTCTTGGTATTTATCATAAAAATCTGAAATTTAGATTTTGGGTAAAAAGTCAATTAAGAAATTTCAACTATCTCAAAATTAGTATACAACCTAAACTAATGATATTTAAGAAGCATCAAAAATCGTGTTGTAATAAGAACTAAGTTTACATCGGATAATAATATGTAAATGCTCATATATATGAGATTCGCTTAATGTTTGAATGCTAAAAATTCAAATATTTCGATCATTATTCATCATCAATGAATAGTTAGATGAATAAATAATGATCGAAATATTTGATGATCGTTTGGTCTATCTTCCACCCAAAATTGCTAATGATAAGTTCTTATAGCCTGATCTCTAAAAACTTTTCTCACCTCCACCTCTAGACAAGCAGACGTGCAATCAATAAGCTATCAATGACATTGTTATTTTCTTTTCTTAAAAAGAATGTCCTTTTCAACAAATAATTTAACACAAATGATATTCTTTATTATCTTGGACACACCATTCTCATCGAGCATTCTTACAATGAACTGAGAAAATCAAGCTCAAGATCTTTTTTTGCTTGTATCTGACTGTATTTTCCTATTCGTATACATTCATACATGACCAGTTTACAAACAAAAGTAAATTGCTCGCATTGTAGCAAAAATCATTAGCCTCGCATCTCCAATTAAAACAGAGTCCAGAAATTAGGAAACAAGTGCTACTGAAAACACCAACTATACATGCGATGCTCGCAAAAGATGAGCTGATAAAAGTGACCAAAAAGATGTGCAAATTGCCTGTACACAAAGGTGATATAGGAACATATACATGCGAAGGATGGCTTGTGATAAAGAGCATGACACCAATGAATCTTAAATTTATACAAAACAATGGGGGTGGACAAACACCCGAAAAGGACTCCTAAAAGAAACAAAGAATAGGCAGGAAAAATAAATTGAATAATATCTGTGAAGAACACTATTTGTTAATTCTCATTTCTCATCCAAGAAATATGTGATGTAACAGAACATTTCCTGATTTGTTGTCGCCATTGTGGTATTTCTATGAGAAAAGCTTCTTACTAGCTTTTTACGACTCATATCAGTGTTTTAGGAATCTGATACTAGATGGACTTTGGTGTTCTCTGGCATAAAGTTGCAGACCGAATCAAAGTCGTGCTTTAAATGAGGATTGACAATTTGTTCCTGTGAACATAAAAAAAGGTCCATCAATGCAGAAAAATGGAAGATTATCTTTTTCAGGACGCTTAATTGGTAGGTTTAGTCATACCTTGAAGACCTCTAAAGGGCAGAAATCAATATTACCACAACCCTGCCAACAAAGTAATATTGAATGTTGATATACCAAACAAAAATGTGATTATACCAACAAAAAGTTGTATGTTGAAGCACTTAAGTTTTATGTCTGATACCAAAACCAAAAGAGGAAATTTGTACTTTAATGCTGGAACAAAATCCAAAATAAATCATAAATCTCATACAAGCATTCATTTACACATGCAAGCGAACATAAAGAAAAAGCTAAAATAACCAACATTGTTTTGTCTGAAATTAACACAGATAAAAAAAATCCTCTGATAGAAGAAATCACAGGGTCAACAACAAACTTAAAGTGGATTCAAGAGCAATATAGACCAGGCTGCATCATGCATTTTCAGAAACCCCAGAAATATTTGAGTCTTGAAAGAAGAAGATCTATCCAGCATTTTCCAATAAAATGCCCCCCTTATCCTATATAATAAAAGTAGATACCTACTAATAACATTTTAAGGAAGAATTTTCACGGTTTAAAAAGGAAAGGAACAAAATAAAAGCTTTTACAAATTGACCTTACCGGTAAACGAACAGGAATTTCATTGTGCAAAACTTGTACAAAATACTTTTTCCTCCGATCTTCAGATGAAATGACCGTAGTAGAATCATCACTATGACAGGCATACAAAACCAACATAGTATTTCCAGCAAAAGGTGCTACAACGCTGCCCTTCCAGTTTCTTTTCTGGGGAGGTTTAGAAGGTAAATCCAGTGGTTCTTCTCTTTGTATTTGCTCAAATTCTAAAACAAAATTAAACCATGTAAAAATATATTTATAAATTTTTAAGAGACCATCTAAAGGAGAAAGTTCCATGAAAACTGATTGTACAATAAAATAAGGTTTAAAAAGGGTATGCTAGATTTACCAGATCCTTCAAGAAAAAGGCCAAGAAGACAGGCAAATGGTGCAACAGTCTCAGCATGAGCAAAACGGAGTCTTGCCTTCTCAAATGTTCCTGGAGTATGGTTTCCTGAAAGTGCAATAAAATCTCTTTTCAGTAAAAGTGTAAACCATTTATTGTAACTAGATTCGGATATTCGCTGGTCTCAATCATGAATCACTAAATGAATGCTTTAAACCAAAATGATGATACAACCAAGACAGATCTTTCAATGTGAACAAAGAGCTTGTTCATTAGGTAGGTGAAATTTTCATGTAAAGTTTCTGGAGATCTAGACCTATGATGAGAAAATTAGTAACTTATGCGCCAAGCTTTCAAACAGAAAGCTTTTTTCTGAAGGTATAGGAGAAAGAAAGATAGGACGACCTTTCAATTTTATTTTCTAATAAGCACATAAGATTCCAAACATGAGACGAGAAAGAAAGATAGGACGACCTTTCAATTTTATTTTCTAATAAGCACATAAGATTCCAAACATGAGACAACTAAGTGCTATCCAGAAAAAGAAAGCAAACAAAACAAAACAAAAACACACAGACACATTGTGTGCACGGGCGCACGAGTGCACGACAGTTTATTGTAAAGTAGGAACTTTTCATGGCAGATTTAGACAAGGTTGTGATCATAAATTGTAATTGACAAAATATGCAGTCTGCTCCAGACCTAACGATAGATTCAAGTTTGTTTAACATCAAAGAGGATCTTAGATTTTATAAATCATGCATCTACTACCAGTATGGCAGTATCAGCCTTCCACTGCTAACTTCCTAATAAAGGTATGCATTACAAAAACCTGAAGTAACTATATGCTATGTGACCACCTACCATATCAAGATAAGATTAACCGAGTTACCATAACCATTTAACAGAAAACCCTCCAAATCATCTGTCCATTCAAGTAAAGAAACCTAGCCAAGGTAAAGAAACTTAAGGAAATAATAAATTTATAAAAAAAATCCTAATGGGAGTAAGTCACAGTGTAATATAAATGGCCAAAGAGACGAACTACTCCAGTTGCATAACATAAAAATTTGTATACCTCCGTAGCATTGAAAAGGCCACAAGCTTGATTGGTGATATCCAACAAAGATGCTTCCTAAAATATGAAAAGATCAATCAATCAATCAATCAGGTGAAACAAAGAAGATTATGTTTATCATAAAGCTGGAGATAGCAGAACTCCTATAGTTAAACGATTTCTTATACCTGTTTGCAGAGAAACCATAAAGAAGCAACATCCTGCTTAGTGAAACCTAGCTGAACGATTTCTTATACCTGTTTGCAGAGAAACCATAAAGAAGCAACATCCTGCTTAGTGAAACCTAGCTGGTAGCGTCTACCGACCTCAGCAGCAATGATACGCAGAATGGGTTCCTTAATCTTATCAACAGCTGGCTCCTGGTTTTCTTTATATCTCTGTGGCATGAAATAGATCATCTTAGTTCCTAACTGCACACAACCTATAAATATATGGTCAAAGGCTTGGAAACGTTTTGTGTCACAACCATAAGTGGCAATTCAATTAATAGAACTAAAGTTGAAAATTGACTGGCACATTCTGCATGTCTATGGCATGTTATTCAAGGACTCGTTTACTTTTCATGTAAAGCAGCCTCTTCGTAAACATAAACAGCAAGTGTTGACCCACTTATTTGATTTTTATCTGCACATACATGAAAAAGCCCAACAATTCTTTTTAAAAGTGAACGAACAAGAATAATATATATAAACAGCATATTTTCATCACTATAAAAATAATGTAGGTTATCATTTAACATAAACACCATGCCTTTATTACATTGAATCTACACATATGTACAAACTATGTCAGAATTACAGCATTTCTAGCACTTTTTATTGAGAGACATTAGTGATCTAGAAGACAGATAATCAAGTTTTAGTAGTTGGTTCTGACCATTACTCTTCCCAATTGTCCCACTAAGAAATTGTGTTAGCATCCACTTCATGTATTGTAATAATTGAAAGCACAAGTTGTCATATGCCCAGTAAGCTTCACGTTAGCTTCAAGATCTTCCTGTATTCCTGTGAATCTATTCAACTGATGTAGACAGAGAGGCATCAATAATCACATAAAGTAATATCCTTCCAATTATTTTGTCATTTGATTCATGTGTAATTAGAACATCTAGACCCTCCAACTCAAAGTGATAAGACAACTTTACTGAAAAAAAATAACTCTCCAGTTGAGTAAATAATGTAAGATATTACTGCAAAAACAAAAGCACATGTATGTAAAGCATTATTAACCAAATAATGATAGCGTTTGGAATAAATTAATCATTAGATAAAAAAAATTCCTTACTCTATAAGTCTGACAAGAATCATAGAACCGTAAGCACATATCACTTGCACGACTCTCACTTATCACAGAGAAGGCACGATGCCCGCCTGGTCCAAGGTTTCCTTTCCCAGCAAATAGTCCAATGCCAAATGCAACAGCACTAGCTGATGCTCGAGGAACCTGCATCACACAGCACAAAAAAAAAAGAACATTTGGATGTTATAACCACCACCAACAATGTACCATGGGAAAAGTAGAATGCTATGTGATTCTCTGATACTCCTAAAAAAATAAGATGCTTTGGTAAACTCTTAATATTTGGCGTAAATTGTATTTATCCTGCCTGAGATCTCCGCTAATACTCCTAAAAACTGAGATACTTTGGTGTGCTCTTAATATTTGGTGTAATTGTATTTATCCCGCCCTAGGTTTATCTTGATAACATATATTCTCCCCTGATAGTTATTTTTTGACACTATGCCTCCCTCTCCTCTACCCAAGGTTAGATGAGAACAAATATGTTAACAAAGTAACATGAAGAAGACAGACAAGTTGTATGATGGTTGTGACTCAGACATCTATATCCTAAATGCAATTTTGTGTCTGAAAATCTACTGGCAAGAGAGGTTCTGTATATTTGAACTTTGAATGAAAATGAAACCATATATGCCAACCTAAGTTGCATGGAAACGGGCACGGGTACTGGTACGGGTGCGGGTACGGGTAGGGGACACGGCAAAATTGCAAAATGTTGGGTACGGGGACACGACTACATATATATATATATATATTGAATTAATAATGTACATGAGATAATTTTTTTCCGCTTCATGTGTCATTAGAATTAAAATTTCGATCACATTTTTGAATTTATTTTATCATATTGATTATCGTGAATTGTAAACTACTTATTTTTTTACTAGACATCTAAACGGCCCATTAACTATATAGTTTTGAACTTGGGTATGGACTGAAACGATCCCGACCCGTATCCCATTAGTTTCAAAAGACGGATGTGAAGTGTAAGCACTACGTCCAGGAAGTCTTTGACAAGTGTTTTAAATTAACACATATATCGTATAATTGAGTACATGTTGTAATAAATGCATGCAAATATCAAGAAGTGTCCATGAAGTTTGGGTACGGGAAAGTGTCGGGTACGTGTCCGGTACGGATACGGCTTCAATAATGAAGTACCCGGGTAACATAGATGCCAACCTTTAAACCAGCAACTATGCAGTAACACTTCCAGATTCCAAGCCAAACAGATGTATGAGATAACTAATTGAAATTACAGATTGACGACTGAAATTTTCTGATCTAGGACTTGCCAAAATATTACTAGAAGAATTTGATGAGTAAGATAACCAACCTGTGTTGCCCTAATTGAGAAGACATCTGGGTGATACTCCTCATCAAACAATTCTGCAAACTTTTCCTTTATTCTTTTTCCTAGAAGATACAGCTCCTCTTCCCCTTTGTTAATTAGCTCTCCCCCTTTCTGTTTTCCTTCCCAAGGGGATCTCCATCCCCATAACCATGCTGGTGTATTCAAAGAGGAGCTGTTCTGGCCTGCCTCATCTTTTGCATCATTCAAAAGAACATCCAAACGAGCTGCCAACCTATCCAACTCTTTAATACGTTTTGTTGTAGGCGAACGGGTCCCATGTCTCGCCTATGAAAACACAGAACAATCAGAACCTTGACAGGTTGGTTAAGTCTGATGGCATTCAAAATCAGCATTATCATGTTCATGTTATTTTAGCACGCATATAACAGAATTATTATATGAAATGGCGGTAAGTTCTTCAGTTATAACTAGATAGATATGAGAATAAAATGAAGCCAAACTTGATAATCTATTTTATCAGCAATAGATTTTGTAAAAGAAAGAGGGAAAAATAACATACAGGGTACAAAAATAGCTCAAGGAAAGTAATGTGAGTAATGATCATTGAATAACTCATGTAACCATGTATATCACTTGATTACGAGTAGTGCCTGGAGATGCTTATAAGTAAAAGGTATTAAAATAAAGGTCCTGGTAACAGGTTTAGTAGTGGAAATACTTCTGAAATTCCTCACCATGAATAAACACTAACAAGGGAGCTCTTCACTTTCCGACACTTCTAGGATGAGATTAGTCGAAGGAAGACTTTACTGTGTTTGCCTGAAACTAAAAAACTTCGACTTAAAACAATGGTCAACATCTCATCAATTAGACATGGGTTCATTCTCATGATCCTTCATAAGAACTTTCTTATTCCATCTCAATGCTAACGTCTTTTTTTATTTAGTAATTAGAAGCATACACTGGGTGCATTACCTTAGTTGTTCCGTTAACATGATACAACTTCCTGAGGTGTATGTGATCTCTAATATATTTACTGCAAGAGAGAGTGCAAAAGAATTTTAGTCACTCCAAGGATGTGTGTGAGTGTGCACTATATAGACACATGAGTATGTTTATACATATTTCTGCATATATAAGCATAAGCAGAAATAAAGATCCACAGGTAAATCTACAAGAACAAGTAAATAAGGGTGAAGCATTTCCTGTCCTAAAAAATCTTACATCAATAAATGAGAATCATATAACCACGCTCTATAACTATACACACAACGCCTCATTGACTCAGCCTAATAAATCATGTTTGGCCAATCTTTTTCATGCTTTGACAACTGTTAAAGCAAACCAAACCTGCATGAAAAAAATTGTGGGAAATTAAAAGATATATTTACTAGTGCTAGTGGACTTGTGTATGCATAAAGTATATGTAGCAAAGCGAAATGGGTGTAGACGTGTGCAGGTGTGTAATGGTTCATTGTATTCGCATAAGGGAAGCAACATCTCACCGACAATAAAAACAAGTATGCGCAAACAAAATCGTAAGATGAAATATTAATAAGAAACTACCAGAAGATTTAGGATAAAAACAAGTATGCGCAAACAAAATCGTAAGATGAAATATTAATAAGAAACTACCAGAAGATTTAGGTGGATTGCGCTGCATCCATCAGGAATAACAGAAGGCACAAAAGAATCAGTATTAGAATCCTTTGCTACACCATATCTGCAGTGGAGTTGAATGTATAACACACCATTAGGAGGGGAAGAAAAAAAAAGGAGAGAAGAGTGATCTGATTCTATTTGTAGGAGTGTAACTCACTGGAAGGACAAGCAGCTAAGTGCACTTCACACTACACAAATGCATAAGTTGTTCAAATTTTTATTTATGGAGTAGATACCCATGAACAAGAAAGTATAACCTTTCCTCCTTTAATAAGGTAACTTAATAAAAAATAAATAAATAGTTCATACAGTAGGAGAAATTTCTGCCTGCTCAGAGGACCTTTGCCCATTGCCTTAAAAAAAATCCTTTAACTACTGACTATTGCACCATTCATCTCACAGCATACCATCCATCCGACGAAAAGAAAACACAAAAGGAAAAATATATTAAGAAAGAGCTTTTGGGTTCTACTAAGACATGATAACTACTTCATTTATGATGTTAAATTGCAAAAATTGGTGACGCAGGGAGAAGCTAGTTGTGAGCAATGCCATGGTCTCCTCAGAAGGCCATGGAAGTTGCTACTCGACTATTGAGTTTACCAGTCAATGCAAGGAGAAAAAGAATTTGATACTCCAAGAGTTCTATACTCCTCAGCTCCAAGTATGAATCAGCGTTAAATAGTTTCATTAGAGAAAACCCACATCTTACCCAAAGTCAATTTGGATGCTTGGTGAATAAAAGATAAGTTTCAATCACTCATTTTTGGATAGCTTAGGCAGAGTGGAGTTATCTAAAGGACCCTACCACAACAATTAAAACCTCCATAATTGTAGCAAGGGTTGAGGGAACATTCTAATTTGTACCCACAAGTTGATCGCCCTTTTCGGGCCAAAACCTGGCATATTTTGCATCGTGGTACCTTTTCTTTTCCATAAATATATATCTGAAGTTGTGGTGAAAAGTTGAGGGTTACAACTTAATATTCCAACAAAGCCCAAGCCCTCCTTATTCTGTGTCAATAACTTGATAACACTACATTTCAGCTCCAATGGTTGAACTGCCATTTCCGAACAAATTACACATGCTTCTGAATTTAGGGTAGAATTATCTCGTGACACCAAAATCATCCTTATTCTGACAAAAAAAATTTAATGACGCCAATCTACAATGCACTTAAATTCTATGTATATTTGCTCCTCCAGAAGATCAAAAGCTCGGTTTCAAGCAGGCAATTGTCGCTCACTAACCATCAAAACAACCTCGAAATACCCAATTAGGGCACGAGAAAAGATCAGCTCGTTATATAATTCGTCTCAAATCGGTAAAAATGCATACAATTGGTCATCGCGTCTGAAAAAATTGAAACCCTAACGAAAACCAACCGAAAGAGAGAGAGAGAGAGAGAGAGAGAACCTGGTGACGGTGGCGAGATGTTGGCGGACGTCGAATTTCTCATCGGCGGCAGATCGCGAGAGGATCAAAGATGTAAAGAGAGAAGCGAGAAGGAGAGAGATCCGCATTTCTTGAAACTACGAGGGAAAGAAAATTGGAACTGATGTTTTAATGGATGACGGGTTGTTTGAGCCCCCGCGTCTTTTGGAGTAACGTATTGTATGGTGTGAATATTAAAAAGAAATGCCAACTGCTAGCATTTTGCACGAGGAATATTTAGATAATATATTCCATAATCCCATATTAGCTCCTCGTATCTATGAAGTTACTCACAGTCCCCTTAAACATTGGGGTTATCACAATTTGGTCCCTCGTTGACCAAAATTTAATCGGCTTTGTTTAAGGGTTATTTGCAATTTACTTTAAAGTTTACACCTTTTTAAGTTTTGATAAAAAAGTTCTAAACTTTAAGGTATCAAAATGTCAAAAACTTTCGGGTATTAAAGTTATAATAGTGTAAATTTTAGAGTATCAAAGTGAAAATAACCCTTCTTTAAACAAGATGTGTTTTAAGTGAAAAATAATAACAAAGGGGTATTTTGGTCATTGAGAGACCAAATTGCAAGACCACTTAAGATTTGAGGGACTAATGAGCAATTGTTGAGAATTGAGGGACAAATATGGAATTATAAAAGATTTAAAGGGACTAATACTAAATAACTCTTTGCATAAAGTTATCAAGATTTTTGGGGTTATTTGCATTTAAATACGCTAAGGGGATGCATGAATGTGTAGAGGAAACTTGGCTATTTATAACACCAAATGAAAAGTGGTTATCCACATCATCAATTTTCATTTGAAAAGAAGAAAAGACGGACGGTAGTTGTTTTAACTTTAGAGCTGCTGTATTTTTTTGGATCTGCAATTAAGAAGGAAAAAGAGTAGAAGGGGAATTTGAATGTGAGAAAATCAATTATTTTATCAATACTTTGACATATTGTAGCTTTCTACCTAAAACGCTCTCTTTTCTATTTATATTGACACCTCATCCTTTTGTTTGACAACTAAGGCTCCGTTTGAAGACCATATTATTTTCCATGTTGTGTTTTTGTAAAAAAACACAATAGTGTTCTATTTTCCTTTAAAGTGTTTTCAAAACACAATACTGAGTGTTTTTTGGTCAACACTTGTTTGACCTATTATAATATTAGAATTAAATATATGATAGTAGCAAATATAATACAATATAATATTGAATAATGTATTATAATATTATATTATACTTTAATGTATTATATAACGTAATAATTATTACATACTATTTTAAACTAAAAATATATCTAGTTATTTTGGTATACTAATTTTTATTGGAATATATTATATAATATTTTAAAATAATATTATTTTAATATTAATATAATAGTATACTATTATAATAAAATATACTAATAATAATAATAATGATAATAATAACAACATTGTTATTATGTTGTTACTAGTATATTATTAATATTAATATTTTTTAAATATTTCAACATTATATAATATATTATAAAATAATATTATTTTAATATTAATATAATAGTATACTATTATTAATAAAATATACTAATAATAATAATAATGATAATAATAACAACATTGTTATTATGTTGTTACTAGTATATTATTAATATTAATATTTTTTAAATATTTCAACATTATATAATATATTATAGTTTCTAGTATGTTAGAGTTTATTAATAATTACTTTAATAGTATATTAATAAATTATTAATAAATAAATATTATTATATTATTAATATTATTATTATTACACTAACATATGTTAGCAATAAATTATTTTAGTATTAATAAATTACTTATATTATTATTATTACATTAACATTTGTTAGCAATAAATTATTTTACATTATAATATTATATTATTATTATATAATATATAATATTATTTATTATGTAATATATTATATTTTATATTATATTACATGTACTATATAATATATGCTATATAATATATTATTATAATATTATTATTCTATTTATTATTAAATATGTTACCATTATATAACATTTTATAGTTATTAATTTATTACCTATTATTTATTAAAAAATTAATAGTACTATGGTGATTATAATATTGTATAGTATATTATTATATAACTATTACATTACTATTTGTTATCAATAACCTTTTTATTATTCTTTATTAATTTATTTATGTTTTATTATTGTTTATTATTATATTAATTAAACTATATTAATATATAATAGATTTACAGGATATTAAATATTAATATTTAATATGGTATTATATTATTATATAAGATATTTTAGTTATTAATATATTTTATATTATTTAATAAATATTACTAATATATTAGATGAACTATAATATAGTATAATATAATATATAATGAGCATGTCGATAATGACTATATATTAATTATATATAATATGTTATGTTAGATATTATATTAACACCTCCTCGAACACAAAACTAAAACACCAAACTTAAAAACATCTAAAAAGTGTTTTAAAATAAGTGTTGTGCTTTTAGTTTGAGAATGATTTAGCTTAAAAACACCATGGTTTTTAAATGCATGGTGTTTTATTTTTGACAAAAACACCATAGAAATAAGAAAAACACTATGGTATCCAAATTCAAAACAGACTATCAATCCTATCAGAACTTACCACACCTGAGCAGCCCATTCTGACTACATATTTTCTAAAATCTTTTTTTTTTGTTGACAAGGGAACCCTGGTCAGCACCTCCACTTAAACTCCCTTTGGAGTCCGCCGCACCCCGGTTCGAATCCCCTAGTCCCCAACAAATCTTTAGTAGATATAAAAGTATAAAAAAAATCAAAAGTTAATTGTAACTCAAGCAATACTAAACCCAGGGTCAAAAGTGACTAGCAGTCCAATCAGAATTTACCATATACGAGCGGTTTGAAGGATAAATTCTAATTTTAAACATATGAAAAAAAGAGTACATTGACCATACCTAATAGGACGAAACACACAGATTGATCTTATATATAAGTAATTTTTAAACCATGAAATAACAATCTTTGTCTCCATGTCTCAACTCTAATAAGACAAATAAAAGAAAAAGAAAATAAATATGAGGCTTATTATCGCTTTTGCACCCTAAAGTTTACCCACATTTTCATACCTAAAGATTTCTTTAACAGTTTGAAATTCTAAAATTTCAACCTCATTTCACTTTGATAATCCAATCTAGGTGTGCTTAGATGTTCTGTTACACTTATATCACATACTTAGCAACTACGTAAAATGGATTCAAATATATCACACATTAATTATATAATTTTAACAAAAAATCTTACATGATCTAAATAGGATATCAAAGCAAAATGTGATTGAAACTGGGGTATCAAAGTGTTAAGAAAAATTTTTGGAGGTATCAAACTAAAAAATGATCGAAACTTTGATGTATCAAAGTGTTAAAAATATAATTTAGGGTTATAAAAAACGAAATAAACTTTGGGATGCCAAAAAGAAAATAAGCCAAAACGAAAAAAGAAAAGGTCTTTTTTTCTGGACGTACTTTCTCTCCCAACTGCATAAGACCTCTCCAACCACTCCTCCAAAAACTTCCAAAATCTCCAAAATTTGGAGAGTGAACCTTCTCCAAACACTTCTCACAAATTTGGAGATCTCCAAATTTGACCCTGCCAAAATTTAGAGGGTGGGGCGAGAAATTTGGAGGGTCTCTCCCATACACCTGATTCATGATTTTTTATTTACCAATTTTGCATTTTAACTATTTGATTTCTTAAAATTTACCACTTTGCCATCCTTCTTAGTAATTTAAATTAGATGTTTACTTTCAAAGTAAATATAGTTAAAAAATTATTAATCTAATATTTTGAATCATTAATATTTGGAAAGGGCTCGTTGAGATCTTTAAAATGAAACTAAGATTAATTTATTTTAGTATTAGTTATAAAATTATTAATTTTAAATTAAATAAATAAGTATCAGACATGAAATTTAAAATACGGGATCTATTTAACTCGCTCCATAAAAAATACAAGCATAAATTACAATATTTAAATTACATTCCTCGTTGCCGCTGTTCTGCCATAAATGTTCAATTAGTGCATAAAATGGAACGATAGTTATAACGATAATGGCCTGCCAGAATTTAATTGTCTCTTATCATATTTTATGTTTGAGTTATGTTTGGCGACTTATGGTATGTTATATTAGAGGTTAATATTTGCTTTCTTGTTCTATCGATGTATGCTTTCACTGTTATTCAGAATTTCTTCTTTTATGATATGTTGTATTGCCAGTATTAATATTGGGTTCATTAAAGCTCTCATCGACACCTTTATAATGTTATAAATTGTTTTCCCAAATAAATTATTAACAATGAAATTATAACGTTAAACTATATCCAACATTCTTTAATTATATATGGCTTCTTTGACAAAAATAAATAAAAAGAAAAACATTTAAGGGTGTGGGTTGGAGCAACCTCCAAATTTCACCCTCCAAATTGGATTTCCTAGAATATTCCAATTTGGAGGGCCAAATTTGGAGGGTATGGTTGGAGATGCTCTAACACCTACACCACAAATTTTCTCCTCGAGAATAGGACTCAATCCTATTTTCTATTAAGATAATCAAATTACATAATGAGACAACCGGATCTCTCATGTTGAGGGAAACCAGGCATGAATCTAAGCTTGATCAGCTCTCTTGGCTGAAACAAATCCTAATAAACTTTGATAGGTCAAGTGTGTAATATATATATAGAGAGAGAAATAGATATGTTTTGCGTACCAAATACAAAAGTTATGCTTGGTAGTGAGATGTCACATCCTCCTCCACTCATTCAAATACGGGATCACATTCACAATGGGTAGTGAGTGGATGGGGATTTGACAGCATCACTACAAGCATACTCATATTTCATATATATATATATATTATATATATATATATATTATATATATATTATATATATAATATATATATATATAAATATATATATATATATATTAATATATATATATATATATATTATATAAGAGAGAGAGAGAGAGAGAGAGAGAGATTAATGAGTATCCTTCTCATAGAGGGGATTTCCCTCCTTGTCGCATGTGCACAATCATCACCATCCTCATAAAGTAGGCACAAATCTCCACCAACTCAC